GGTTCTCTGATCACTGAGAGACTTTTGTGTAAAGGGCTGTGTCAACCCTAACAAGTAAAGGAACTTCATGGGACTTGGATTTCACTGCTGAGTCCTGCTTAGACTCAGCTGAAGATCTTTCCTCAGACAAAATGTTTGAACCTTAGAGACCTTTTCGGTCTTAGATTCTTAAGTCCAGATTTTGGTGAAAAGATGCTCTCTTATTCTGCATAATTTCCCTTGAAAACCTAAGTAAGTCTGCCAAAAGAACCTCCTTGTGGATCTAGCTATAGGGTTTTGGGTGCTCTTGGCATAAGGCAGACAGTTTTGAGGATTAAAAATTTGAGTATAGGCACCACACCAAAACTGGCTGATGTTGCAAGGAGCAGGAGATATTTTTATCCTGTATTAATGAAGTAAAGTATGAGACATTCAAAGCATGAGCCTCCAGCCTGCACAGATTGCAAGAATGGGCTCTTTGTCTGCTTATTTCTGAATGCACTGAAATATCAGCTTCATTTCACTGCCCAAATCTGAGACTTTCCTGAAGTTCATTAAAATAAAACCATCAATATCTAGAAAATATTTATTGGACAATTAACTTCAAATATTTCCAAGGGAACTCACTATTTCAGTATATATGAGCAAATTTTACAAACTGAAACCATAAAATAACAGCAAGGTTTGTCTTAAAGCTTCCAAATACTTTCCTAGAAAATTATATCTCTAAAATGCAAGCTATACCAAATGCCTGGAGTATACAGACATTTTCAGAAGCATAAATAGATGATATAAACAAATCTAACATTAATGAATTCTCCCAATTTTTACATGTCAGGAATTCAGAGATAACGAAGACTAAATGATCCAAGTTTCAGCCACAGGTGACTCTTATGGGGCAGATGCTAAAGCACTTCTGGCATTTTACAGACATAGATCCGATGTTGCAGACATACCATCTTAGGTTCCGTATTTGTAGTTAATCTCTTTTTGAACAGTTTTACTTATAAAACAATTATAAAATATACATAGTTAAAAAAAATTAGCTCCTAGTGAGATGCTTCATCTGCTTAAGTCAAAAGAAAATGATGTGCCTTTGCTTTAGTTGTGATAAAATTGTATGACACACATCATGTTGGATTTCAGAGCGGATACTTTGATGACCCCTTATGAAAAGTCTAATGGTGATTTAAGCTTGTAGAGAGTGCAGGAATGGAGGATTTTGCCCTGAATTACATACAAAGTGAATCTGCCTCTCCAACCATTGCAGAGTTTGCACAACAGCTGGGCTGAAGTTACAGGTAGGAAACAACCCACTGTTGCAGGATAAAGCTGTTTTCATTCCAACAGGTTGCCCACATGGGGGAGAACAGTTATTCTGCAATCAGTGTGCTGGTCAATTTTCCTTGTGCAGTTACAGGTTTTAAATATTTTTTTTTTCTGAACAACTGTACTTTGCTGTGTGAATGATTAAATATGTGGATTACATTTTATGCAAGGAAAAAAATACAACCAAGATGGTGCTCCTGATAGTAATGTTGTTCCTTATAATAATGTTGCTGGATAAATGGCATAATGAGTTCCTGAGAAAAAAGATTTGTAGCATTAGTATAGAGTTTTGTTTCTCAACTTGTATGTGTTTGCTTGTAACCCACACAGAAGGCCAGCTGCTCTGGAAGATCTCACGTGAGAGCACCAAACTACTACTGCAGCACCACAGAAGGAATATCACTGCGTGTTCCAGCCATATCTGACCCTCATTACTGCCTCAGTCCCCACACTACCAAACAGGCATTCTCCCTCTGCAGAAATCTGAGTGCTAGATCAGTTGATAGATAATTGGTACTCTGAAAACCAGTCACTGACAGTTCAAAGCCTTCTTCAGGCTTTTGCACCAAAGGCTAATTGGCTTCCCCACCCTAGGCTTTGCCTACAACCAAGAGAGATAGTTTTGGTTCCTCACTTCCTGGACGAGCATGTCCAGTCAGCTTTGTAACCGAGAAGAGTTACTCCTACTTCAAAAAGCCCTACGAGCACCCACTTGAAAGTGTACAGTAAATATTAATTTTCTTTGTACTCCAGGCACTTCAGAAATGTCTAAATTAATACTTCATTTAGTGCTGTGCCCTCGTTTTTTCAAGCTCATTTTATTCTACCGCAGCAGAGCAACATATATCATAACAGGAGATAAAAGTCTCTGTTGATTTACAAGGATGGTGATGGAAGAGCAGTGACACACAGAAAAAGGTGGAGCATTATGGTGAAGGAATTCACAACTTTCCATCCTTTATGATTTTTAACCAGGATATTAGATTTTCTTGTTGAGCAAATGCTTCTTAATCAGATGCAAAAAAGAACATTTTAACACAGCAAATTTATTTTTGAAGGGAACAAAACCACAGAGTGGTACTGAAGCAAATGATTCTTAGTATTCTCCTGTGATCCAGACATCTCCACTGAGAATGGAATAAGATTTTTTTTATCTCCCTAAAATGAATAGACACACTGAAAAACAGCAAGTTAAAAAAAGAGAAGTACTAGACTAGAAGACAAGAGAGAGTATCCAGAGCTAGAAGGGAGCAGAAAATTTTCAAAGCTGAGAAAGGAACGAGTCCTCGTCACAACAATCCTGCAAATGTAACTAAATAAATGTTCAGTCTTCACATTTTGGAGAGCAGGTTGCCTCTTTTCACAAAATATGTAACCACTTAGTATTTTAGATCTGTTTGTCTCTAGAGCTGAAATAGTTAAAATAAACTGCTCATTTCAGAAGTTGGAGGAAAGTGGCCAAAAAAGGTAATGAGGCCTGAGGCAGACATCATCATCAAAGGCATGGTTCTGGAGGAAATAACAAGTTAAAAAATAAGGCGTAAAATCTTGTATAAGGTTAAGAAGTACTGGGGACTGGACCACAGCCTCAGTGGTCAAGTCCCAGATGAACAAAGTCATGAACAAAGCACTCTGATCTCACAGTTGGCTCTGCTTTGCGTGGGAGGTTAGTCTAGATGACTTTTAGAGGATCTTTCTATTCTGAACTATTTTCTGACTCTACACACCATTCTCCATTTGCTAAAAACTGACTGAGTATTGTTCATCTTAAGAGATGCAAATTGGATGGTATGACTGTTTTAAAACTACTGAAATTCCCATACAGAGGCATATTCTTAGTTTGCTATTCTGGATCCATCCTTTTTTTAAGGAATCCTCTCGAGTTCCTGCTTTTGCTGGTAGTCAAACAATGTTCAAAGACAAACTGTATGAAGTGACAGTCTCACTACTGTCAGTAATGGGCTAATTAATAGCAATAAAACTGTTCAGTCTATCTGTTGCAAATCATGAAAGACACAACCATGCTGCAGCATGAAGCCAGCTGGTTTTTGGAAACAGTGCATGACTACCTCACAGTAGTTTCATCTTTTGATCACAGTATGATCTTCAGAGGCAAAACAAAAAGTAAGATTTTCTTAATTAAAAATTTGTTTGAATAGATGTGTTCAGACTGTATATTTTTTCAGTAGTAAATTACACCTTGCCAGTTGTGAGGGGGGTAGCCACAAATTCATGGAAATAAGTGGAAGGAAACACAGTGTGACCACATGCCTGGTATTGCTCCTGCTAAAGGTGAAGGATAAAACTGTCTTAGTTCTCCACAGTGAATTTATGCCTCAGCGAGTGAAACAAATTTTCCAGTAATTCCAGAACTCAGGAAACTCAGTTCTTCAGAAAATACAGAAAACCACAAAAGATCTCAAGGTTTTCCTGTTCTTCATAGGAGTCAGAACTTTACAATATAATTGAGTTTATCCAAACAGAAATAAGAACACTGGCCACAAAACAACAGGCCTTGCTCAAACCAAAGCCAACAGAAACTCAGTGCTACAACATCTGTTGATGGAAGGAAAATCAAGCAATGCTGAAAGCAAGGAATCAGCTAAAGCAATCATCAACTGCTCATACTTGCCTGGAACAGTTTTCTAAAGGTATTCTTTCTCTTGAAGATATTTGATTTGATGTCTTCTGTTACATGATTTCACTTAGCTCTAACTCCACTAAAATGTTTTTTGCAAGATAAATGGGGTACAGAGTTAGTTTTCAAGTGACTTACTACAGGAGTTGAAGCTTAAGAAGACATCATAAAAGTGACCCCAATTTCCTAATTCTGTGCCATGTTCATCAGCTATTTATCAGTTTTTCAACATGGTGTCAAATTATTGCACTATTTTAGAATGTTAACAGCCTTTTGTCATTTCATTTTGCATCCATTTTATACATAACATTTCTAAACATAATCACTAGGGTTGAAAAACACAACAACAATAAATAACCACGATATTGCATTTTGTTTCAGAGAACAGCTGTTAAATTCTTGTTATGAAGGTCAGTGAAAGTCAGTGGGTGAAGAACTTTTTGGGAAGCTACAGCTGCAGAGTTTCCATTTTGCCAGCTGTGCTCCAGCTGCTTCACAGTCTAAAGCGCTCCTGCCATGGACTTGACTGTCCTCATTAATGTGGCAGTGAGAGGCTGAGGAGACCCAAAGTCCCCTCTAAGTATAATGACAGGGTAAAACTAAAAATACTCTGACTCTTTGGGTGTGCTGTTCTCCCTACTGTTGAAAAGTAAGTCTTCATAGTTATATAACACCCTGCATCTCCATGTGGTTAAAATATTTTTGATGAAGCCAGGGATATAGGGAGAAAATATGAATTTTGTTATGATTTCTTCTTCTTGTTCTCCTTCATAGGGATCTTAAAGTATGACTAAAGAAATAGGAACAAGGGCTTAACTCCCCAAACAACTTTTTTGATTATTCTTGCCTAATTGCTGAAGTGAAATGGGACAATGATATGTTGCTAGTGATTGCAACTGAGGTTTGTGTTCATGTGAATGCTTATATATAAAAGAACCAAATATAAAAACTCTTTATGCTGAATAACCTATAGGTGATGCTTTTGGATATCCTTTGAGCCCAGCTGCATAGCCAAGGCAAAAAAAACCCGACAAAAAAACCCCCTTTTCTTTACCTTTGGAGTTTACTGCACCAGCTGCAGTTGAAACCAATCTGGGCAGTGACACAGGGACCACAGCTGGTAAACTGGAGACAAGCTGGGATGTAGATAAACAAACACAAATTATTATATTAGTATCACAAATAATTCACACCAAAAAAGAAGAATATATCTTCTGATAATATATATTTAGGGACTCAACAGGTTCTCCCATGTCCAAAATAAGACCCTGAACCCAGCCTATTACAATGCATTGCACAACTGCATGCACAAAAGTACATTTTATCTGTAGGATTCCATTTGTATTCCATTTGTAAATTTATTACCACTTCCACATCTGTTCATTCACCTTCATTGTTATTTTTTAATTTTTTTTTGCTCAATATTAAGAATTTCCTTAAATCTCTTTTTTTCCCTGGTTCCAACATTCCTTGGTATTACTTACATTCAGACATAAGCAGATAAGAGTAGCGGAAAAGTGTGCAAGAACTATAATTGGATTAAAAAGTAAGAAAAATAGATCTTTTTTATTGTTTTTACAGTAGTACAGCTGGCATTTTAAATTCAGAGATTTCTAACCAATGTAGTTTTACCTTGGACAAAAGAGAGAGATGAACTGCAAAATATGTTTGGGGATATTAATTTGTGATGTGATGTACAGTGCACAGAAGAATTTATGTTTTCCTTGCAAGCATGAAAATTGTTCTTTTTTTTTTTTTTTGTCTTGAGGAAACAAATTTAAAGGCAATATAATCATTCTTCTGAAAAAATGATTTGGCACAAATTTCATTCAGAATCTACTGGGAGCTACATACCTATAAACTAACTTGAGATAAATGAGGATGTACTTTATAAATGCATAATCCATATGGGAATCTGAGAGAGGATAAATGAATCTGTTCATGAATCCAAATCCACAGATAAAACAAAATATTTAAAATTGTGTTTGTGTTGCTGGGAGGGAGAGGGAGGTGCTTCCTAGATCTGACTCCTGCTTGTTATGCTTTACTTACTTGGAAGAGGTATCATTTCAACAGCTGAGAGATTGGTAATCTTTGACATCTGTAGCTCCACCCTGTGGTATTCATAAATTGTTCTTCTTCGGACATCTACCAGGAAAGAAAAAAAAAAATCATATTCTACTATTTTGCACTCTTAGATGGTGAAAAATAGTGGGTGTAATGATTGCACACTGTTCCTTAGGGGCACACAGGGCACCAATTTTCTCCAAGATTATATTTTTAACTTTAGACACCATGAAAGAACATGCAAAGATAGAGAATTTTTCACTTCAGAAACCCTCAAAGCTGTCAGAATAAGTACCTATTCCTGGCAAAGAATTATGAAAATGCTGAGTGTGCTCTCAAGCATCTTAGTGATTGATTTAGGCAAAAATTCTAGAGAATAGACATTTTAGGGTGTATTTCAGATGCTTGCTAAGACATTTCTCAGCTTACAAGCTTGAGAGAAATATTTTATATGCTCACTTTGTCAGTTCTTGCCAAGATGTGCAAACAAAACTGAAATTCATTGCTTAATCAAATTTGTTAGCTACAAGTTGGCTCACATCTAAATGTACCAGAATATTTTTCATATTATAACATTGTTTTAAAGAAGACAAGACAAGCCTTCCTAAACAGTCAATGTTATGCATAATCTTTACACAAGCTGACTGCACCTGAGTTTCGCAAAGAAGAAATTCAATATAGTCGATGCACTGTTCTTATGAGCTTTGAACTCACAGGTGACTGTAAGACCCAAGCACAAGATAAGCATGAAAAAAATCACATGCTATTTCCCAGATCAATATCCTATAACGTATTTTGAATATCCTAGATTTTATGTGCACAGTTGCAATGTAGATGGGTGATCTTCTATATTTGCAAATTAAAAATCCAGCCTATACCACCAGTCTGACACAGAAAATTACAATTTTCTGATGTGCTCGTTTCATATTTATGTTCTTTTTGAAGGCCTGCTAAACTAATTGCAATTGCTGACCCCATGGAATCATCCCACAGAAGAATAAAGGGTGACATACAAAGGATTAACGGGGTACTCTGGTCAATGGCTGGGCTGAGTCTACATGCAACAGAAGAAAAATGACTTGTAGACAGCCATAAGCTCAATCTTAGGTGGTCTTCTGTGTTGCCAGTCCTGGGTAGATTAGCTCTCAGGCACAGGTGGGCAGTGTCTGGCTTCCAGACAATAATATTTCATGTTTACCTCAAATCAGCACCTGTGCCAAGCACTTCCTATTGCAATTTATTGGAAGCTTTGCTATGACTTCACCCCTCCTGATAGCAGATTTCTCTTTCAGTATGAAATTAACCTATAATTGAGCTAGTTTTATGTTTGACCTACAAAGTCATTCTGACTAGTTAAAAGACAGATATGAGCATGTGCCAAAGTTTCCCCCAATAAATGCCTTAGCCATGTCCGTCAAACTCACCAGACAGAAAGAGTTTTCAAGACAAAGCTCATCATGTGCTGGGGTAGGAAAATCTCTTGCCAGCTACAAGAGGTTTATGCTCACAGGATGGTCAGTCCCATAAAAGCACCTGCGAGATCAGAGGGATCAGAAAACTGTCTTTGAAATGAACTCCTGCCAATGCTGAAGGATGTAATTTGTTTCCACAAATATCTTTATCCTTCTGTCCAAAAAAATAAGCAAATGGATACATAAGTTCAAATGGTGGATGCTGACACTTCAGTTGAACTCCATCTCATCCCAGATGAGCCCCCACAAGTTCCAGATGTGGGAATCCATGGATAGTCCACAAGTTTGTAGGTTTTGACAAAGTTTGTTTCATTCATCAAGATCCCAATTAAAGGCCAGTGACTATTCTTATCATCAATTTTTGGCATTTGAGTACAAATCCAAGTTATTTTTATGAAGAATATTAGATACTTTTTGGACTAGAGCCACATGTAACTTTCAGTTCCAAACCTGAATCATGGTTACCAACTGTACAGATAAAAAATTCGGAAGAAATAGTCTAAACCACATCTTCTTCATTCACATCAGTCTCTGTTTGACTAGTTGTCCCAGGAGCAGAAGCTCTTTTAACTCTGGAATAGTGAAACCAGGGTCCTTTGCCAGCAACTTTGACTGTGGTGAGGGAGGTCAGCAGAACTTGGAATGGTCCTCTCATCAGTAGTGATACAGACTGGTATGCTATAATCCTGTTAATGCTGAAGCTTTCCTAATAGACTCCTCACAGGGCTTGCAATAAATGAGGAATAAACCAGGAATCTACCTTTCAAAAAATTCGGTAAGAATCAGTGACTCAGGGCATAGGTACTTCTACCTCACCCAGTACATGAAATTTTTGAAAAACACTACTTTTAAGAGAATTAAGTGCATTATCAAAAATAATAATTCTAATCATGCATATTTCAGCATGACTCTTGCTCCCATTAAATCCCACTGCCTGACAGACCCAAGTCTGATTTTTTTCTTCAGAAAGACGACTGTGTCAACCATAAGTGGTGAGTTTGCATATGAGGCATCCATCTACTGTAAGAAACCTAAGCACAGAGAGGTGTTTGCATAGTCACCTTCTAACGGCTTTGTATATATTTGCAGGCAGGTTGTTGGAAACACAAGCATTTGAATTTATCGGCATGGTCAGGCTGTAAAAACATGCAGGTCTAGATTCTTTTGAAAGTTTGACTTATACATACCATGCTTAGATCCTCAAAATGCACTTTTCCTATTTAGAACTCTGAACCTGTATCCCCTTAACAAAACTGGGTTAAAAAGCTAAACTCAACAGTATAAACAGAAAAATGAATACTCTCCCCTGATGCTTTCCACTCAACCTCCTCACACACTCCTGCTGCAACCCAGGACACACATTGCCTATAACTCAGGTGGAACCTTTTTCCCTTGTCTTATGCTGTCTATTTAGCTCTTTCACAAAAAAACTCCACAAGTGGAGAATCACAAAGAGCTTATGAGCCCATGTAGCTCAGGATACACCTTAACATGACAAGAAATAGTGAAACTATTTGATGCAGTAATAGATAAATATTTAAGCATCATATACAGGTATTTTGCTGAAAAGAGGAGTTACATAAGGTCTGGCAGGGAAGGGAGGAAAGGAAAAGGACTTTTTGCATGCGTTTATACTTTTGAAGTACCAGTCCCAGTTCTGAGTGACAGAAAATAAGTATTTTTCTCCCAGTCAAGAAAACATTTTACATTTCTATGTCTGAGTTTCTCAAAAACACCATTTTAACTGAATAACTCATATTTTTCAATAACAGATTCTCTTTTTTTTTATAGTTGGTTTAATTTTTATAGCATGATTTAAACTGTTCTTTGTTTTGTTTCTGTGACGTACATGTGCTATCTTTGAACACAAGGCCAAAGGTACAGTCCCAGCAGAAAAATCTGAAGAAAACAGCAGCTACTTGAGGTAAGAACATTCCTCAGTGACCTAGAGAGATAACGTGGTGGGTCAGAAGGCCAGCTGAAAGAATCCTTTCAAGGGATTAGACAATGGATTGGTAAATTATAAATGTGCAAGATTCTGGTGTGACAAAATACTTCTATGTGATTTTATCACAGTAGGATTAAACTAAATGATGCCATATAAGTATTCGGTAAAAGAGAACTGCCAGAATTGACTAAATGTACTAAATATGGAGAGCGCTCTGGAGATGGATCAGTACCAGGAGAGCACCAGTGATTTCTTAAGATGTCTGAAGGCTCAGTAGCTCATAAAAAAACATTCTAAATATATGTCTGACAGATGCATAATCTCTCAGTATCTTTTCTATTACATATCACTTTTCCTCATACACCATTCCTCAGCTAAAACCTGCAATACAGTGGAATGTGAAAATACTGGAGAAGTCATTCTGAGTTTTTAAATTATATGTTCGTACAAATAAAAACCTTTGCTTGAAAGATTTCTAGGGAATTGGGATTGGCCATAGATACAGAAAAAACTGCTAAACAAGGCCATATGTATTTGCACAACTGCACTTTCACTTTTAAGTTTTGCTGATAGAGAAAACACAAATGGTAAGAGGGTGTATTTGATTATCTAGAAGCCAATTTGAAGTAAGCAATTTATGAAACATATCCAGCGACCTGCAAGCAGTTTGTGAAAAATATAAGGCATAGAGAGGGGTGGGGCACAGCTGCTGTGCTATACAGCCACGGACTTTGCTTGGCAGCAATCTTGTTTAACATCACTGACCGAATAAAACCTTCAGGCAAATATATATTTTGCCAGCCTGGTATGTCTGATTGCCTTCACCACAAAAGACAGGGGAATCGGAATGACATTCTGATTTATTTTTAACAGCTTTGTATTGCTAAAGTTAAAGGGTTGGACTTGATGATCTCGGAGGTCTTTTCCAAACCCGTTTATTCTATGATTCTATGAATATTAACTAGCTAATTCTTGAGGTGCTGACACTGAGACCAGACATGCCTGTAATCCAAACACCACCATGATTGCTCTTGGTCATTGACTATTATACATATCTGAATTTAGATAAAAATTCAGATCCCCTAGTTGTACTAGTTTTATCATTCTCTTAAAAAAAATCCTTTCAAACTTGGAAGCCACAGGTCAAAGACATATGATCTGTGAACAAGCAAACCAGTGAAGTCGGTTCTGAAAACAACTTCTTTATAAACAATGTAGAAAACAACATACTGTCCCAATGCTCCGTGTCTACCAAAAATCATTTACTTTGAAACTCTCCATGTCCTTTCAGATTTACCTTAATTCCTAATGCCAGCTGAGTAGCTCTTAGTACAGGACCTAGGTGTGAAAACTTTGCTTTACTTCCTTAACCCTTCATCCTGGAGACATGACCTGCCCAACGCAGCTGTGTTCTCATCAACATGGCCTCAATACTTGTGACTGCTGCTTGCTCTAGAACAGATGTGTTGGTCACATAGTCTGACCAGTGGATGTTGAGGATTGTGCGGAGGCAGCGTTGATGGAAGCGTTCTAAGAGACGCAGGTGGTGGTGGTAGATGACCCATGATTCGGAGCCATACAAGAGAGTAGACAGCACTATGGCTCTGTAAACACTGATCTTGGTGCTTTTCTTCAAGTGTTTGTTACGCCACACTCTTTTG